AATTTTTTTATATGCTCGGATTATAAAAATTTAATATTTAACATTTTTTATTAAAAAAACAATAAGTCTTATAGGCATGAGGAGATATAGCAACAATCTTGAATGTAGAAGGCACATTTTGACCACATTTGGGCCTTGTGGCATGAACGGCCTAGGAGAAGATACGTTTGTTTTCAAGGACAGAGTAGTATAACAGTATGTTGGCTTTCTCAAGCCAACATAAATATCAAGAGCTGTGGCTACAAAATGACCAATTCAAAGACTAGGCATAAGAATGAGGACTCTAGTTTTTTGTCATTTCTTTTCAAAGATGTCAGAGGTAAATTATTGCTCTTATAATGGCCATTCAATTAATGAAAACTAGAATTCAATGAAACACTTTTAATATTATACAAAGCACAACAGTGTCTTGTTTTTATTTGTTTAATAGATGCAAATGCAACTCTTTAGTAAGGGGAAGTCAGAATTCCTGCATTTTCGCCCTCACAACTATTCGTTATTCTGTTTTTCTGACCATTGACTAAAAAACTTTGAAAATATCTGTGCATTACAATCCCAGTTTTTGCAATACCCAGATCAGCCATCTGGCATAAACAACTATGCCTCATTAAAAGTCACTTCAATTATTTTCTTCTTTATTCTGATGCTCAGTTTGAGCTTCAGCAGATCTTGATTATCATTATCTTCTAAGGGTTTACCTTCTGGAGTGACAGATTTCACTGCAACAAATGCTTTTCTTGTTTAGATTTTTTGTCTTGTTTCTAGTCTAAATATCTAAAATTTATTATATCAAGAAGCATTTTTTAGACAAGCAAAACATATTGCCTTGTTTTGAGAAATAATATGCCAATATTAAGTCAGTTTTTCCTTAAAACAAGCAAAATAATCTGCCAATGGAGTAAGCAAAATAATCTTACGTCAAAAGAAAAAACAAGATTAATTTGCTCACCCCATTGGCAGATTATTTTGCTTGTTTTAAGGAAAAACTGACTTAATATTGGCATATTATTTCTCAAAACAAGGCAATATGTTTTGCTTGTCTAAAAATGCGTCTTGATATAATAAATTTTAGATATTTAGACTAGAAACAAGACAAAAAATCTAAACAAGAAAAGCATTTTTTGCAGTGTTAAAGTGGGCAGTTCTGAGCACTTCTTTTTGGAAAGACACTTCAGTATGGCTGCCATGGTTGGTTTCACTCTGAAGTGCCCTTCAGGGTGTGATACATTCCTGTTAGGAATGCACCGTATGTCTAGATGCCACCATGTGATTAATGCTTTAGATATTTGTGTTAATGAGCAGTTGAACAGGTGTGCTTAATAAAGTGGCCAGTATTGTGTACATCACTCTAAATCTTTTGTGATTGGATAGATGTTTGTTAGCACAGTGTAAACAATCTCTGTTTGTCATGATTAGACCCAAACGCAATCAGCAGCCCATCATTGAGTCTATTAATTTGCTTGTGTAAATGTATATTTATTCAGTTTTTAAATGAAATTCAGTATTATTATTGACTAATGTGAAAGTGTTCGTTTGATTTATTTACAGTACAGTTTTTAAAATCATATTTATTCTCTTTTAGCAGATCTATTTAATGAGGGACTTGCTTTGTTTACCAAACAAGTGAATCTAGATGGATTTGCTTTGTAAACATTAAATGAAAGTTTAAAAGGTTTTATTTTATTTACTTTTATTTCTTGTGTTTTTAGTTACGATAATCCTGAAATCATTCCGCATGAATCCGCAGATGTTTTAAAAATTCTTAGCAGAAATAGTAAAAACATGTCTGCAGATTCTGTCTGGCCCTAATCAAGACTTCTTTTCACTCCTTTTGTATTATATGTAAAGGAAATCCCCAAAACACCTGATCACGCACCCTCTCGAACCTTCTACCTGTACACAGTTAATCAGCTGCCCACCGCAAGACTACTTCTGCAACATTGCTACAAGGTACGTAGCTCATGCGAACAGCTTTAAAGCATTTGTTTAATTAATGAGTGTATTTTTTGATTTGATATCTGTGTGTGAACCTCTTTACAGACAGTTGGGAACTTGATTGAGCGGCGGCTGTATGAGACCAAAGAGAACAAGCAAGTCTCTTCTCCTTTTCAACATTAAAACATTTAAAGGGATAGATCACTCAAGAAGTTAATACTATGATGATCATTTACTCATCCTTTACATGTTTTTAACCTTCATGGGTTTCTTACCTCTGTTGAAAACAAACAAAGATATTTAGAAAAATGTTGGAAACCTATAAGTAATTTGAAACCTTTTAACTCTTGAACACAAACGAAGACATTTGTAGAAAGCTCAAAACCAGTAACCATTGACTTCCATAGTAGGGAAAACAAATAATATGAATGGAAGTCAGTGGTTTCCGGTTTTGAGCTTTCTTGAAAATATTTTCTTTTGTGTTCAAGAATAAAAAGAAAGCTTTGAAATTACTTGAAGTTAAGATAATGTTCATTTTGAGTGAACTAACCCTTTAATCTACTGTGGAAGTTTTTGATTTTGTCATTAATGTTTTTTTTTATTATTATTTTGACAGGCGGCTTTTGGAGAAATCTCAGCGGATTGAGGCCATCCTAGCATCCTTGCAGGCGACCGGTGCGGAGGCGACACAGCTGACCGAGGTGGAGGAGATGATCACAGCTCCTGAGAGACAGCAGCTCGAGTCCCTGCGACACCATATAAACAAGTACTGCAAACCAAGTCCCCTTCCTTTCTGTAGCATTTTATATATTGTAGAAAGACAATAGGTGATCAAATTAAAAAATCTGATAACAATATTTTAATTTGTGGGACATATTCAGCATTTCAGCCAGGTAGCAGTACAGTGGTAGAATGCTAGATATGTGCTAGTTAGTTAAAAACTGATTCAGTTCATTTAATATAAATGTCAGTGTTAAAGGACGATCCCCTGATTTCAAACAAATCAGATCTTTACCACTTTGGGCCCTATCGTACACTCGGTGTAACAAGGCACAAGATGGGTTTCCACGACGTGTTGCTATTTTCAGACCAACGCAACATTAATTTTCCCGTTTTCCGCCCCGTTGTTTAAATAGCAAATCCATTTGAGGCACTTTGTGGACTTATGGATGTTTCAGTCTAGAAAAGAGGTGTGTTAAGGCGCATTGTTGGCGCGTAGCTATTTTGAGGAACTAAAATAGACTGTTCAATAGACATTTACCATGTTTGTAAACATTCAAGATGCGCGCAATGGCTAAAAAACCGGGAGCACTACCATTTACAGCGAGGGAATGACATCTGATGTAGTACAGAGTTCGTTGTTGTCTTAGAAATAAGTTATATTGATTACATATTATATATATTATTTACATAATGCTTTTAGCGTATTATAACAGCTCGTCACTAAGTGATAAACACAGTTATTCTGCTAAATTTACATTAAGGTGAGCACCATTCGTCTGACAGGTCTATTTGCGATAGCACTCTCCCAATGATTATTGGATAAGACGAAATGGCCAAGCATCGAAAAATACAATCTCATTGAAGCTCCAAGTGTTTTTACAAGAGAGAAGTTAAAGGTCTACAAGTCTTTGGATGCCAACAATTTTGTTTAGCGTGGTCATGTGCAAGAAATAATTATTCCAATTCACCTATAGCGCATGTCTTCGGACATGTGGGGTAAACCGGAGCAAACCCACCAGAACATGCAAACTCCTCACAGAAATGGCAGTTGAACCACCCAGGGCTCAAACCAGCGACCTTCTTGCTGTGAATCAATTGTGCTACACACTGCTGCCCTAAAGAGGTTTAACATGTATTAAATAGTTTTTAAACCTTACCGTTTCGTGACTGAGTGCACATTCTGTATTTCTGAATGGCTGTATTTAAATTTCTGTTGTGTTTCATCTGGTGCAAACAGCCTAATTGCTCATCACGGCAAATCTCGTCACACAGTGTGTTGTTAGGACACACGGTTACAATGTTACCTCTGCTCACCTAATGATTACATTCATAATATTTAAATGATCTGCTAATTGATAACCTCATGTGGAACTCTCAATCGGCATCTCATTTCAGAGTCTACTACTGTCCACCAGAGGTTGCAGTTTGGTCACGGATGAATGTTTTCAAAGCCTTTCTGAATAGCGAATGAATAAAATACGCAGTTTTCCAACAAGGCAACTCGGGCTGCTGAAATATAATTGGCTAAAGTGGCACTGGGTGGGTTAAAAGAACCAAAACAAAGACAGCGTTCCAGCATGTAACAGACATTTTCAAAGCAGAATATCTGACTTCAGCATTGTTTTTCAGATAAACAAGATCTGTTCGCTTAGCATGTTTCTTAAGTATCTGCAAACATATTATGGTATTTTTATGCTTTTGAAGAGTCAAAATCGTACAGAGAGCACCTTTAAATATTGAATTATTTAGAAACTTACACTGACAGGATTACACTGTTGATGCCATCTTGTGATCAGATTCAGGAATTCATTATCCGTCCGGTTGTTCGCGCTTTATTGAGTTGCATTATGGGATTGATTTTAGCACACTTCAGAATGTCCACTGTGGACACATTTACAAATTACTGCTCCCTCAAATAGTTTAAGGGTATAGCTGGTGATTTTGGATACAGCCAGGGCGTTAGTACACATTGTGTAGAATCATGTGGTTTATATTCAGTCATTAATCAAATCTCTTCTCTTTGTGCTCATGGTGGCAGGTTGGATTCCAGCGAAAACCAGGTGGATGAGACCATTTTTCTTCTGGAATCCTACATTAACTCCACACAGGCCTCTCGCTGACTGTAGACTAGTTTAGGATGTGAAATAGATGGATAAAGGTACATTGTCAAATGGAGATGTTTATTTCCTTTGGAACAAAGAGTGACCGATTTGTATTTAATCACATTTTGTGTGTGTGTGTGTGTGTGTGTGTGTGTGTGTGTGTGTGTGTGTGTGGCTGCGAATGCAATTTTAGCATCCTTTTTTTTTCTCATGTGGAAAAAATAAAAAAGTGGAGTTCTGTTTTATTTATGGCTTACAAAAGTTTTATTTAATAATTAGTTTGAATGTCAAAAACTCAAAAACAGTGTACAAACCTGAAATGGACATTAAAACAAAAAAGGAAACATATCGCTTGGTGTTGTACCACATTTTCATCTTAAATACAAAACTATTTTCTATTTCACAAATAGTGCATTTCTCTGCTTTTCTGCCTGTTTTTCAAAGCAGTGCAAGCGTTTCTGATCTGTCTCTGTGAAATGTAAAATCTCCCATATTAACCTGGTAAAAGGCATTGCTACTCATATCTTGCCTCAAGAGAATCCAAAAATGTTAAGAGTGAGACTTGGCCAAGCATGATACTTAATGCACTCGACAGACCTGCAAGAACCGATATGACCCATCATTCACAAAGCTTTATGCATTTTGTGCATATATTTATTAAATATTAAGGCACATTTTAAGTCCTCTTAGCTCCATGTGAAATATTGAATGAGGTTTAAATCCATTCTGCAGTTTTTCCCCCAAAAATCAGCATAGAAAGTGAAATGTGTAGATTCCACCTGGATCTGATATTTAATCCTGTACAAAAGCGTCACGTCTCAAAGGGGAAATAATGGCTGCAAAAGTCACATTTCCTGGTCGTAAGAGGAAACTCTGTTCATTCTTTGCTTCAGTGTCAGTTGTCATCGTTTTCATCCTCGTCCTTCCTCTGTTTCCTTGTGAAAAATCCCAACTGTACAGAAACATTTAGTAGATAACAATGTTTAGTACGTGCAAATTGTCAAGCGATTTTAATACTAATGATCATACATACTGTAGGAGTGTGTGATGTCTATCATTGACAATAATAATGTAGTTGTTGTTTTAATACATTGCCAGTTTGCAAAAACATTCCAATAACAATGGATTCTAATGACCGTATGATACGCCTGTATAGCATTTCGTGATTATTTGTAAGATATAAATCACAGCATTGCAAGTTGGATATTAATATGCACCAATTCAACAAGCTTATCATTGAGCAAATTACATTTCAGACATTGTCTATTTAGCGTTGTCTTTGAAAATAGTGTTTGAATAATCAAGTGAGGCACTCATTAAAACAGGGACTTGCTGGTGGTTTTGATGTCATAATTATGTATTTTATTCATGATATTTATTGTTTTTTTATGCAAAGGTACTAGCTCCTAAAGGAATTCAGCCAAATATTGTTTAAATATTGTTTATAAAACCACCAAACCTATTAAGATAATTTTGTCAATATCGCATACTCTTCACTTCAGTGACCAAGTGCACAAAGCCAGCTTGGGTTTTAAGCCACGAGTAAGTTCTTATTTTAATCAAACAAGTTCACAAATCAGATTAAAATGTTGGGATGAGCTGATCTGAGATCTGTGCCTGTGTTTTGAAAGAAAGATCTATCGATCCTTGAAATCATGATCAGCAATGCAACGATTGGCTGATGGCACAGCAGCATAATGACATCATCTGATTAATATTCAGTTATCCATGTGAGCAAAATTATACAAAATTAATAGAAAACAGTTTGTTAAATATGATACGCAATAACTTAATACACATTTGTTGTGGGCTGCATGCTTTAGATTTTATATGTGTCAAGCATATTTATCAATTTATTTAGCTTTACATTTAGAGTGGATATTCTTTATTATAGTAACCTAGGCCTATTAAAGTTTCTTAATCAACAAATTTAAATTAATTTTGCATCAAAAAAAGCATCTTAATATCAGTAAATGTGTCTGCAACTTTTGTAAAGCATCAATTCACCATCATAGCTGTCAAAACGTGCATGACTGCATAATTTATTATGCCTTTAAAAAACAAACAAAAAACAGTCGAAAATTGTGCGTTGTCTATTATCATACATCATCGGTACCTTAAAATAGTACATGTTTGGATCTAAAAAGTCGATATCAATACATGTTCTCTTTGATCCCCTTGGGGAGAACCACCACATTTTGTACTTTTATTTCGTTGTGCAGATAGCATAAGTTTTATTTATATATTTTTAAACTTAAAAGTATATGAACATAAATATTATTATTTATTTAATTTTTATTATTATTAATTAATATAATTCTAAATGTTTATATAATTTTGTTTTTAACTATTTTACTATTTCCCGCAGTGTATACAGCAGTGGTTCCCAAACTTCTTGCTGTGTGCACCCCTTTCTAATATTTGACACCTGTCAAGCACCTCTTTCTCTGATTAAACTCCACATTTTTAACTACAATAGCTAAATACACATATTTTCTTTGTACGTGATTAAAATAAAAATAGTTTGAGCTTCTTGGTGGATGCTGCAGTGTACCCTGGAAACCGATGCTGCAACTTTTCGGATAAAAGCTACTGCGCCTCCTTTTTTCTTCTTCTGCAGTTCCTCCAATTTTCCTTGAAAAAAAACTTACAGGCATGTCTTGTTTGTAAGTGCCGGACCATATAAGAGGGCTTAAGACTGCTATTATCTAAAACTTCACCACAGACTACACATCGCGGATTTGGATTTTCTGCATCTCTAATCTATGTAAACCCAAAACCAATGTAACTTTTCCTTCATTTGCGTTTCTTGACATTTTTTTCACTCTCCAGTGTAGGCCTTATTCTCTTCATCAGTACATCTCTGCTGGATTTCTCTGTTCCCGCCTGCACCTCTTCACCTCGTTCGCTATCATCTGAGTCCATATATTCGAGGCCACTGCACATCTCCATAAGAGACTGATTCTCTGACTGGGTTCATCCCTACTGTCACTTGACTTATTTAAAGTGCCATTTTTAAACCAGGTGTCCATTTTAATGAATATAGTAGGTGGGAAAAAAATTTGAATGTACTCTCACTTGGTGCCTAATGAGAAAGGGCTGGGCTATTGTGATGCAATCGTGAAAGCGCCAGAGTATGCATAAGTTGTAAATTAATTTTTTTGTAAAAAAAATATTTGTAATGTGATTTTTGTTTTTTTTTTATCTCTCAGTAAATTTCTTTTTTCTCCAAAATATGACATGTGAAATTTACTCTGGATAAATGCATAACACATTAAAAGAAAAAAAATTAGCCATTAACAAAAATTCTCTCGTGCCCCCCTGGTGGTCAGACTGTGCACCCCAGTTTGGGAACCACTGGTATACAGGTTACTACAGTAAGAAATATCAGCATTTGGTAAATACTTTCAGTATTATCTTTGCTTGAGAAGACCCGATCTAATCCTGTTTATATGACATAAGCCAGCTCCCGAGCAGGTTTAAGCTACCAAAATCTGACAACAACTCTCGGATGAGTTTTGAAGACCGAAACGATCCTAGATCGTCAAATCGCCAATAACCAAATCCAGCTAATCGAGTAATCCACGTACGAAGAATGGACCCTAGGGAAGTCCAGGCTAATTTTGAGCAAACACAAGTTTTCATGCTCAAAAAGGTGGGTTGATTTTGATGAAGTTTCATCACCATGGTAATTCATGCAAAATGACTTCATCCTCCACAAAAGTTTTTAGTCTGGGTAAGAGATTGCAAACCCAAACCGAAAAGAAAAAAGAGAAAAGTTACATATTTATAGATGGCCATTGCCACTTTCTGCTCTGAATGAAAGCCTTTTACACAAACCATTTTGCTTCTATAATTTGTCATATTGATTCATCATTATTAATGCTTTATACTACAATTGAAATTTTAAGTTTCAAATTGTTGGTTAATTTTATTAACAGCTTTAATTTATGATGAACATTTAAATATTTACTTTATATTCCATAATGTATATTTAAAATGTATTATGTTAAATATTTACTAGATATTTTCAATTGCTTTAATATGTAAAGATTTTAAAATCAGCTGTCTTTTGTTTGGGAATCCACATCATTAAGTCAGTCTATTCCCATCTTAAACTTGACTGGATCAGCAGTGATTCTGCCTCTTAAATGTGTTTAAATTCATTACATTTCTGATAATGATATCCCTTAATCCAGCTCTTAAACAGAGAAGTGAATTGTGCTGACTCTCATTTGTCATGTAATTGGCTGTTTGCTGCAAGTGCACATTTTCAGCTGTATGTGGTTCAGTTTTAATCACAAATGCTGGCTGAATCCCCTTTAACAGTTAACAGAGTTAGTTTTGTCAACCCATTTCGTTTTTGTGGTACAGGCCTCAGATGTGACCACTCTACAGAACACCTGATTATGATAAATCAAGTTGTTTCAGTACCTTCCAAAGGATGAATACTAAAAGTGCAAGAAGCAGCAGTCCTCCAATGATGCTGCCAATCAGAATCCACAGGGAGATCGGGATCGAACGGCCCTTCAGCACCTCCAGAGTAGTCTATATATACACAGAGGCAGACATTTTACAGGCGCATGTTAACACTAAACTCTGAAGTAGAAATATTTCATTTTTGTGTTAACTCATTTTATTTATATATAATGATACAACAAAACTAACTGCAGAAGTGACACAGCCTAAAAATAAGACAGAGTCAGCATCAAGTTCAATTTATAAAAGTGATTTTATATACAAACATTTCATATTAAATGAAAGGAAACTGTCTACTGTTTTAAATGACGTTTGTAACAATAAAATATCAAAAGATAGGTGAGATGTAAGATGTTTGGGGGAAGCACATTTATTTTGAACTGTGACCAAATTAACAGAACCTACGTGTACATTAAACAATTTTTGCAAAACTTCCAGCTAAACAGAATTAAGTATTTCGGAAGACTATGAAAATAAAGAACATATTTCTTACATGTATGTATAAAATAATCATGTTTTATTATACAAATTGTATTACATATTAAATGGTTAAAACAACTATGTAAAACGTACCATAAATATTAAAAATGACACTGAATTAGTGTATTTTTGGCCTGTACTATGATCTAAATAGTTTTACCGTGATCAAATGAGATTGGCCCTAAATTTGCCACATTTTCTATGTATAATAATGATAATAATAATAATATTAATAAGGAAGTAAGCCAAAGGAAAATTAATGAATGAATAATGATAATATACTAAACAATATTCATTGAATACTCTCAGGGAGTGATTTAGTGTTTTTTTTTTTTTTCTTAAAAAAATTACACACTTAAGACACATTCTATTGTCCAATTAATAATAATAATAATAAAGTAAAAAAGTGTTGCAGTTTTCATATTCTGTTTTCAATTTTCATCTTTGACCGGTACCAGTCATCTAATTTAAAGTCTCAGTTCTCTCACCTCCCTCAAGAGGGCAGCATTTCCCATTGTAATCAGATTGGACTCTCGAGCAGAAAGCTGGTAGGAGCCTACGATTGTCACTGCTTTGAACTTGGCCTGACAGGAGCACATAGTAATTACGAGGTTAGAAACTGAAACACAAACACATCCCACTCAAGTCTGTCTGTCTCTGCATGTGAGAGATTAGCTGACCTGTCTGAAGAAGCTGTCATGTATCCTCCTAGTGATGCGAATCAAGGCTGTCTGTCCCTTGAGCAGCTGCTGGATGTGACACATCACCTCCACACACCATGACGAACTGCAGTTCTGGAAATCAAAATGAACCTTTTTGAGTGTTTTTTAGCGATGGGAAGTTCGAATTATCTTACTGACTTGGACCTTTGAGTTTCGTTGAGTGAGATGATTGAATTTATTTTTTCCAAACGTTGAAGTCACAGCTAGAATGCTAGAAGAGAAACATAATCATCCATTGTTTTCCTGCTCTTTTCTATGGTTAGCTCTGCTCATCTCTTCTCACAAGTCTTCAAGTTGGAATCGTTCGTTCATGTTACACTGACAGTCTCATATAAGCTTAACCATTGGACACAGTCTAAGCCGGCAGGACCCATTATTAAATCACCTTTTGGATTTTAGTGTTTTTATGTCATTCATTCCACAGGGATGTGTTTTGTCATTACTATTGTACTTTACACCAATGGCTGTCAATTTGAATGGGAGTAAATTTGAATCAAGGTATATAATTAAGTATGCTGATGATTCTGTCATTGGCAGTCTTTGCATGATCATGAGGAGGGCCATGGCCTAGTGTTGGACAACTTTGTTGCTGGGTACCAAGACTCATATTTACAACTTAATATCTCAAAAATTACTACTGTGCTGTTGATGAGACAGTGACTGAGAATAAATAGCTGGGCACCATCCTAGATGATAAACAACTTTGAGGCCAACACAAGTTTTATTTGTTTTAATTGAGGAAATGAAAGGATTTCATGTGAACAGTCTTCTTCTTAGGACATTTTATTTTTCTTATTTTGAGTTTCTAACTTTTTTTTATTTTTGCAGTAATATGCTGGTATGGTAATTTGAGGGTGACAAGTAAAAACAGACTTTCAAAAATTGTTCATCTATCAATGAAGGTCTCGCTGGATTGGAACTACATAAGGGTGAGTAATTAATAACAGAATTCTCATTTTTTGTGAATTGATCCTTTAAGATTATCTATAAGCTAGTGTACTCAAAAACAATAAAAAATGTATTTAGAAGATATAAGTATTACTTGGAGAAGTAGAACTTGGAGATTTTCACTTCTGGCAATAAGATTTGACTATTTTTGTGACATCACCATACATATCAGCTACTCGTCAGATCTTCTGACCTTTTTTGCAAACGTATAATAAATAAATAAATAAATACACTTAAAAAAATCTTCTAACCAATCAAATACTATCTTGTATCTGAAGGATCATATGTGAGAGTGCTCAAATTGAGCAAAAATAAGAAACTATTAATAAACAGTATCTGACAATCTTGATAAGCACATCTTCATGTTTGTTGGTCATAACAAGGAAGGTAACAAAACACTATTGGCTGTTTTACAAAAGGGAGGAGCTTCTCAGTAACTTCAACCCTGTCTTCCTATATAAATTCAAATTATGTCACAGTAAACATTTAAAGGCACTTCAGGTGACTTAATTGTGTACTGATCTGTTTTATGTTTGTAGATGTGTGTGAACATGATGTCTGTCTGCTCACCATTAGCTCAGTTTTCTTCATATCTTCAGGATGAAGTGGACGGACATCTCTCTGACTGGACTTGAGCTTAGAAATATCATTGACTATAGTGCAGTTTACACCTGAAGCCTACGAACAGACAAAATCATTAGCTTTAAAAGAACACACAGATGCTTAAAAGTTACAGTGAGATTTAAAATAGGATACTGACATTATGAGAGAAAGCATCAACCACAGCTGCGAAAACCCGGTCTCCTGAAGCCACTGCAGGCAAACTGACGCTCAGCTCCAGATTGCTGACAGCATAACAGCCCAGATTCTGCACCTGATCACACCAAATTAACTCAATTATTAAATAACTCTGTATATTTTTAGGTATAGGGTTTAGGCTACAGTCAGTCACCCTGAAATGCGTGTAGAACTCGGGACCCGTCCCCTCTGATGCTGTCCTGGTCGGGTGAACCTCATAGCGGTTTAGGTTTGAGTCACTGGAGGGAATCAAACAGAAATAAAGTAAACAATATTGTGCTGAACTAGCATAGATACAGTATCCTTCTTCTTTTCTCTTGCTTAATTTTCACAATATAATATAAACGTGGCCAATAATAAAAACAACAGAAATTATACTAATCGCTAATAAATATCTCTAACAAACTGTCTTAATTGTCACCAATGAATATAGACTCATAGTAATATTTGATTTTCATTATTCGTCAACTAATGTGAGCTACTACTATTACTAAACAAATAAATACATATTTTTTTTATCATTTTGCTGAATAAAGATGTGTGCTATTATTAGGGGTGTAAACTCTGCGGACCTGGTAACGTCATCGACTTTCGCTTTAAGATTTAAAAGGCTAGCATTGCACCAGACCCCCTTAAGTGGTTTGGTTTGAAAGTATAGAATCTATATTTTATGCACATATGCATCACTTTGGTTTTTATTCTACTGTACAAAAGTTATTTACACCTAAATACACAGTATTTTGGATACCCGAGCTGGGTGTTGAACATAGGGTTAGGGTGACACATGTACAAGTTATAGCTCAAATGAAAGCGCTTGACGGTGCTTATACGGTTCTTGCATTCTTTTTACTGAATTATATTCACATATCAAACAGTTGTTGAATGAATCACAGTGTTTCCATGGCGTAGAAGTAAAAACAATAGATTTATGATATGAGTTGATGTGCATAAGTAATCCTTTTATATGTCTGACATGGTCCTAATTATGTTTGATCAAACAAAAGAATGGTGAAATATGAAAACAATGATCGATGCCTGTGGCTTGTACAGCACCTCTCATCAGTTGGAATGCAATAACTTTTGCATAGATTATGGTAGAGACATTTTTCTTTTTTACCTATGATTACAGACATGTGCAGGAACCACCAAAATTAATTACAGAACCTAAAAGGTACACTTTCAAATTTGAGTTTATAAAGAAAAATACAAAGTGCCTCTTTTTTAGGTGTTTATTAAAATACAGACAACATATTCAGTTATTTCAACACTTTCAATAGTGTTTTATGAAAAATCAAAGGTTTTCTTTAAAATGATACCATTCTTTTGCATTTACACCTCTGCATGCGGATTTAGTAAGCTTTAAAATTTGGGGAGGCAAAATCCAGGTAGAAATCCCAAAATAGCACTTGAGTTTAAGAGGTTAAAGGTGTTTATTGTCATTGGTTGTTTAGTCTGCATTAATCCATTCAGTGTAAAGCTGCACAATTAAACATTAAAAGATCAGGATCTCAATTCAAACTCGTGCAACATAAATGATAAATGATAATGATTTATTAATCCTAAGAAGCGCTGCATTCAAATCTGCGTTTGATCGAGATTTTCAGTTCAGTTCAGATATACACTGATGTTTATGGTAAAAATTAAAATCCCCGTTTAATGGAACTTGAAACTGGTGAATGTTTGACGCTGATGAAAGCAATTACATTGTGTAACCAATGGGTGGCAACAAACAACCATCAAAATTATGTCCCTGAATAGGTTATCAAAAATGATCCACCTATAATAAAAATGAAGTTATGTGTGAATTGTTGAATCATTAATTGAAAATAAAAATATGTTGTACAAGGTGTAAATTTCTTTATTTAGCATTATCAGCAACATTAACAAGGATAATTATTCGTATTGAATATTTTTCTTTTTTCAGCTGGTTCTTTCTTCATTTTTATAATTATTAAAATTACAGCATCTAACTGTTTGACAAACCAATGGTTTTTGCAGTAATATTTTTGTATAAATGGAAAGCAAATGACATATGCCTCTCTTTTTTGCTGATTCAAAAAATGGTCCGATCTGTGACTCAAAAACCATAGTGTAATCCGAATTATGGGATATGTGATCTGTTACACCACTAGCTATTATTATACTATTTAAGACACACCAAAATTCACTAACCGACTGGTAACAAACCTTGTGATGAAGAGATCAGGCTCATACTGTACAATACTCTGCAACTGAACGGTGTTGTCTGATAGTGTGCCTTCCCTCTCCACACTGTCACTGTGAACACATACACACATATTCACTTTACTATGCACATCAACATATCGACACGTACTTTTATTTACATACAGTGATGGACTGAGCACTGAAAATCATGTAAAAAGTCATGTAAAAGTACCATTGCTTGGCAAAATATAAGTAGAGAAAAAAAATCTGTTCTACACACTACTCAAAAGTAAAAAGTGGTAAAAAGTAAAAAAGTATTCAGGAGTAGTGTGTATTCCGGAAAAATTCTGTAACGTCCTCGCCTGTGTGAACAGCGCTTTTTTGAATTTACCGGTAAAGTCGTTCCGGAAATTTTCCAGATATTTACCGGTATCACTGTGTGAAAGGGGCTAATGTTGTCTGGAATAAATTAAGTACAAAAAAAAACATGACTGTGTGAAAATATTAAAGTGGAAGATTGATTCTGGTCCTCTGAATGAGTTAAGACCACCTCAGTGCTTCGTCAATTTGTTATTGGTTTAAGATGTGTGTGTTTACCTGGAAGCAATGAGCCTCATCTGGACTTTACTGATGAGAGACGTACAGCTGAACTCAAATTCCAGCATGAAGTTCACCTGAGAAAACGGGACGATTTGGAAAATCTCTAATCAATGGATTGAAACACCTTAGTAAGTGTTTGGATGAATCTGACTGTCAGAAGCTTACCTTTGACTGAGAGCGAAACACAGGATAGCTGACATTACACGAGTGACTGTTTGAGCCTAGAGCCGTGCATTCAATCTTAAACTGGGCATCTTCCTGCAGAAAGACAGAGAGAAAAAGAGAAAAATAATAAGCAGAAAGTTTGGTTTATTTACATGAGTTTTTTTTATCTCGATTTATATATTTAAGTTAATTGTTAAGATTTGTTTTATTCTGTAATATGTAATGGTTTTATAACATCTATTCCAAAATTGAAATAAAGTATATTATCATTTAGAGTTATTTTTTCCCTCAGAAAATGGCAATGATAATGAAAAAATGTTTATATTCATTTTTGGACATTACAATACAAAAAAATAGATACTTATAATACAATAGCAGAAATATCAAGAAAGCAATATTTAGTGGAATAACACTTGTTTGCAATCACAAAAGACAAAAACAATAGTTATTTTATGTTGCTATTGTTATTTTTATGCTTAATCATTCAGCAATAGTACTCATTTGTACTAAATAGTATTAATTTGCACCACACACTTTCACACAATTCGTGTGCTCCATGCATGTGAGTGGGCTTGACAAACCACCTGTAGGAGAGACTTTCTTTCCTCTCTATATGCACCGGACATCTTATGAACACTCAATTACAGTAATAATGATAATGATGATGATGATGATGATAATAATAATAATAATAATAATAATGAAACTGCTAAACTAACCTGACTTGTGATGGCATTTATATATTGCTGCTCTTTGAAGATTTAAAGTGTTTCTTTTATCCTTAATTGTAAGTTATTCTGTATAAAATCTACAACTAAATATAGATGTTGTTTTGACCAATGGTCATTTCTGGAAAAACAAATACTCTAAAAAACAACAATTTTGTTCGAAATCTGCAGGAAATGTTATATAATGATCAATATTTAAGCTACTGGTCAACATTTTTGCTGTTGTATGCAAAGGCATAAGTAGTGAATAATGATTAGTAAATGATATTCACTGTATTCTCAGCTGACGAGTGGGCGCTGCCATTTGAATCTTTTTGTCTCGCGACTTCCGGTCACATTCACTTCCATTCATTTTTTGACGTTAACAACTACTCGTTACGCTGCTTGATGTTGCAATTTAATATTTTCTTATTATATTATGCTACTTGGTCTGTGTAGTCATGCAAACATTTGTTTGTTGAGCAAGTAGTTTGGCCATTTTCTGCTGTTTATTATTCCTACTCATTTCTCCCATAAGCGACTGAATCGGAAGTTCTAAGCGAAACGCGAAAACAGGCACACTTCCGCATTTTAGAATAAGGTCAATACTGATCAATTGCCATGAGACAGTTTCAATGGCAGAATAAGCACATGACGATGCATGCAGGCTCTTTTGTTTTAATATGCTTATAGGTTTTAAATGCTGAGATTAATATACCCGTATACTCAAGGTGCTGAAGTGCAGGTTTTTGGAGTAATGAAGAGTGAGACTTGTGTTATAGGCATTTTCTAGCTTGTTTTGTAGCTGCACTTCCACCGCAAGCCGCCGTCGTGGACTTCGTATAACGTACGGCACCTGCCTGCAAGAACAGATGAAAACAACACTGATGTTACATGCAAAATACACAAGCTACTTAATTCGCTAAATATGTTTGAATACGTTCAGTGCCAATATGTAGAATAACTGTGGATTCAATGACCTAAGTTTGGCTTGTTTCAACAGCAATCCTTACCTTGTTCCAGAAATGTCCATATGGGCCTGTAAAACTAGATCGGTTACACATACATCATCCTCCCCACAGTCTTTGAAGAATGGGATCTAAAAGAAGTTAAGCAGATCAAACTTTGTTAATAGCCAGCTGTACGAGGGAAAAAAACATCGATCCTTTATTTTAAAGAACACTCCACTTTCTTTGGCTCATTTTACTGAAAACTCCCCAAAAGTCAAGAGTTGAGTTTTACCCTTTTTTGATCCATTCAGATGAACTCTGTATTTAGCCGAGAGCACTTTTAATCTGGCATAATAATCAAGGAGCTTTGCATCAGTACAATGGCTGCAGCAGGGACAATGATATTGCGCAGTGCTGTTACCTAGTTACCTAGCTGGGGACTATTTTCAGGTACTGTGTAATATCATTGCTCCTGCTGCAGCTATGATATAGCAGCAAAGTTCCTTGATTATTACGCCAAAAATAAAAAAGTACACAATGTAATGAAGAGTCACTTTAGATTGAAAAACTATCGAACCCATACTTTAACTTTTTTGAGCAAGATCTAATATGATTCAATGATTTATGCTAAGCTAAGCTAAACATGCTCTCACCAAACTTGGAGATCAGCTGAACGTATTCAAAATGTAAGAACTCAATTGCTTAACTCTAGGTTTCTTGTAAAATGAGTCTATTCCTATATATTTTTCTAATATCCATTCATATTCCTGTTTTTGAGGCATGAATAATGCAGTTGAAAATCACTCACAGACTTCTTGTGTGTTGTTGGCCAGCCCTCGTCAAGTACCGGGCCGCTTTCTGTGTCATTGATTTTGAAGCGTAAAGTGAAGCTGATCGGTCGGATGTAATCGGCTGTATCCTAGATGCATAAAGGAAGTCAGAAACTGGCAGAAGAACACTTTTGGTTGAAAACAATGAGTATATACTAGCAAGTATAATGTACAGTAAGTAAACCATTATAACAATACAGCCTCATTTTTTGCAGTATTGACCGACTAAATGTACATTTCCATTGCTTCATTGATTTTCTGAAGACTTACAAAAACGTGAAATGGCAAGATGTAGCACTTGGTCTCTCCAACACGAACACTGATGCTCATTAAGGTCTGACGCTGAGAGTTGGAGTCAAACAAAGCACGAGCTGAGATCTTTCTGTCATCCAGCATGGCCCCCACCTGCATATCTATGGGTCAAAAATGAAACAATTTTTTTTGTTTAGTTTTTCAGCAAAAAAAAAAAGACTGAATAACAAACACTTTTACCATGATTTAAAGAATACACCTACTAGAATACCACTCAGTAATATATTTTGTATATTTAACACCATAATAATCACACTCTACAATAATGTTTCAAGCAATTGTATTTTTACTAACATAAACTATAGTTCAAATATAGTTAAATATAGATTAAATCATAGTTCAACATTTACTGATGCAACATTAGAATACAAAGTTGTGCTTAGTTATTGCACTGTGAGTTAACATGAACTAGCAATGAACAGCTGTATTTTGAACCAAGATAAATAAATACAGTACTTTAATAAATGTATTGTTTGTTTGTTCGTTCATTTTAGTAAATAACTAACATTAACTTATTGTAAACCTTACCATAACCTTATACTACTATATATCCTAAACCAAAATAATAAAATAATTGAACAATTGAACAATTTTACAACCACATTTTGAAAAAGTAGTTTAAAAAGTGTGTTGGTGTATCATGAGTTTTTTTTTTTAATTATCGCCAATAATTTTGACTCACAACAGCAGTCTAGATAAAACTGTGGATCATTTATCATTAGCATAAAATGAATCGAGTGACTTAGTCTTTCAAATTCAAGAAATTTGTTTCTAACTTTTTCACAAGTACCAGTAATATTCTATGTACTGTAAAGAGACCCATTTACACATGTACATGTCAATGTTACAAGTAGACCTGCTCAATATCCAGTTAAACGTAAGGAAAAATATAAATAATTAAAATTTTCTACATACTTATATTGATAGTATTCATATTAATTTTGATATTTATTCATTTAGTTCTTTTTTTTAAAGAAACAAATAAACATTCTGAACGTTATTTTAGTTGGTTTAGTGGAAGAGTGGAACAGTTCAGTTTATGAAGAGAAAACATTGAATGATGAACATTAAGGGCCAGTTGATTAGGTTTCTTGAGCAATTATAAGAATATTCTTAGGTTATTACAGTTATATATACAGTTAAAGTCAGAATTATTTGCCCCCCTTTGCATTTTGTTTCTTTTAAAAATATTTCCCAAATGTTGTTTAATAGAGCAAGCATTTTCACAGTATGTCTGATAATATTTTTTATTCTGAAGAAAGTCTTATTTGTTTTATTTCAGCTAGAAAAAGGCAGTTTTTATTTTTTTAAAAGCCGTTTTGGGGTTCAAATTATTAGCACCTTTAAGCAATTATTTTTTTCAATAGTGTACAGAACAAACCATCATTATACAATAACTCACCTAATTATCCTAGCCTGCCTAGTTAACCTAATGAATCTAGTTAAGCCTTTAAATGTCACTTTAAGCTGTATAGAGGTGTCTTGAAAAATATCTAGTCAAATATTATTTACTGTCATCATGGCAAAGATAAAATAAATCAGTTATTAGAAATGAGTTATTAAAACAATTATGTTAAGAAATGTGTTGAAAAAATCTGCTCTCCATTAAACAGAAATTGGGAAGAAAAATAAACAGGGGGGCTAATAATTCAGGGGGCTAATAATTCTGACTTCAACTCTATGTATATTATTATACATATATCTTAGGTAGGGCAGCACGATGGAGCAGTAGGTAGCACAATTGCCTTACAGCAAGAAGGTCGCTGGTTCAAGCCCCGGCTGGGTCAGTTGGCATTTTTGTGTGGAGTTTGCATGTTTTCCCTGTGTTCGCATGGGTTTCCTCGGGGTTCTACGGTTTCCCCCCACAGTACAAACACATGCGGTTTAGGTGAATTGGGTAAGCTAAATTGTCCGTAGTGTATGCGTGTGAATGCAAGAGTGTATGGGTGTTTTCTAGTGTTGGGTTGCAGCTGAAAGGCCATCCACAAGTGCTGGATAAGTTGCCGGTTCTTTCTGCTGTGGCAACCCCTGATTAATAAAGGGACTTTATTAGCCTGAGATAATAAAGGGGCTTTATTAATCTGGGGTCGCCACAGGGGATTGAACCGCCAACCTGTCCAGCAAGTTTTTACCCAGCGGATGCCCTTCCAGCCGCAACCCATCCCTAGGAAACATCCACACACAAACCGGAGCACCCGGAGGAAACCCACCTTTGCAGGGAGAACATACAAACTCCACACAGAAATGCCAACTGTGCATAGACTCGAATCAGAGACCTTCTTGCTATGAGGCGACAGCACTACCTACTGCGCCACTGCTTCGCCCCTTGGGTAATTATAATTTTATATATCATTGTACATAAATTCTTAGGTAATCATCAAGAACTATGAGACAATTCATGAAAAAAAGTGACCTAAGTTCTGAGAAATGTGTGAAAAACCCAAACTTTAATTAACTTGTTGTACATGAGATGAATTCTGTGCACCAATGGAAAGTTAAAAGAGAAAAAAGTGTTAAAAGCTTTTTGGTACATGACACTTTACCAAAATATGTGCCACGAGAGCCAGGAGAGCGAGACAAGGCCAGGAAGCAAACGGTGGCATTAAGGCATGCGGAGTCTCGTCCAGCTCTGAGGCAGTTCTTCTGAATCACATTAATAGAGTGTGGCTGGAAGGACAGGCTAACGTTGATCTGCACGATACTGCGTGACCTGAAGAAAACAGAGGTCACATGGGCCACAATAAAACCTGACTTTACTACTGTTCCACACACAGTTTAAGGTTATGAATGACTGATTTGTATGATGGCAGTGTTTAAATGATGCTTAAAAAACACAAGACTGCAATGAGGCATGGCGTACTTCAGAAGGACAGCAGAGCCCTGTGCTCCCACAGCAAGATCCAGTAACTCATCCCCATCCAGATCCAGCAGAGCGCTCAGGCTACGGCCAAAATACCGCAGGCCCGTGGACAGAGAGGAGCCTGAGATACGCTACACAAAGAAAGGAAAAATTTATTAGTGTGTGAAGTATAAAACGTAGTCTAACAACACAGTGGACACTAGTCTGCCAATACATTTGGGGTTAGTAAAAATAGTAGGATTATTAACAAATGATGTAAATTGATCAAAAAGCACAGTGATGATATTTGAAATGCTATGAAAGATCCAACCTGAGCAGATTGCTGGTGTATACACTGATCGCTATCAAGGCTACACATCCACCATTTCATGGACTACAAGATCCAGTTATGCACCACACACTGACAGCAGTTCCTAATCCTGACTGATTGCATATACAGCCAGAGGATTGTCAAGGACTGATTACATAGACTAGTGGTTCTCAAACTTTTTTCATAAAGTACCACCTCAAAAAAAAAAAAGTCTCTCCAAGTACCCCCAAAATAAGCAGTATTGAAATACAGTAGCGTAGTAGGCCCAGTAAAGCAGCTCCAACTCTGCACAGTTAAAAAATGTGCCAGCTTACCTCAGAAATATAGGCTATATGTCATTCATGGCATATTATATACATAATTTTGCTAAATTTTGAAAGGTGTGTAACATGTACATGACATATTTCATTCTTCCGCATACCACTAGAAGGAAGCCTGCGTACTACTAATGGTACACGTACCACAGTTTGAGAACCACTGACATAGACTATTTAAGCAGCACAGACACATACACTGTTGCTGAGTCTTTTATACTGCACTTGTGACATTACAAAATGTTTCCTTTTTCTTGCTTTGCCGTGTTTAGACCCTTGCCTTTTTGTCTGTTTATTCCTGTCTGCTGCCTGCCTTCTAAACATCTCCCTGCTTATTTGACAATGACTCTAGATTGCCTGTTTCCATCCGCTTACTCCTGGTTTGACGATTGCTTTCCTGATCATTCTCTGCTTAATAAACTTGCATTTGGATCCACTTCCGTTGTCAGCATCACATTACATTACAATTTTCAATAAATAATCTAATTTTAGAACTTTCTCTACATAGAAAACTCCTGAAAAATATTTTCAGAAAAATATTATTCAGCAAAAGATTTGTCAATATCGATGAAGTTAATCTACTTGTTAATATCTGACAATTCTTTGATCAATGTCATTCATTAGTTTTCTTTTCGGCTTTGTCCCTTTATTAATCCGGGGTTGCCACAGCGGAATGAACCTCTAACTTATCCAGCACATTTTTACGCAGCAGATGCCCTTCCAGCCACAACCCATCTCTGAGAAACATCCACACACACTCATCCACACTCATACACTACAGACAATTTAGCTTACCCAATTCACCTGTACCGCATGTCTTTGGACTGTGGGGGAAACCGGAGCACCTGGAGGAAACCCACGCAAAGTCAGGGAGAACATGCAAATTCCACACAGAAATGCCAACTGACCCAGCCGAGGCCTGAATCAGCGACCTTCTTTCTGTGAGGTGACAGCACTACCTACTGCACCACTGCATCGCCTTAACCAATTTCTTTAATCAAATTAGTGCAATCTTGATTGCATAAGAGAAGACTTCTTTCAAAAACTATTTTTTTTGCAACCGTTAAATGTGACCGAGTGTGTGTGGATGTTTCCCAGAGATGGGTTTTGGCTGGAAGGGCATCCGCTGCGTAAAAAGATGCTGGATAAGTTGGTGGTTCATTCCGCTGTGGCGACCCCGGAATAATAAAGGGACTAAGCCGAAAAGAAAATGAATGAATGAAAAATCAGTCATTTGTAATCTATTACTTTTTGAAAGTAACATACCCAACACTGGTCATTTAAAACCTTTAAAACACAATGAACTAAAATGTAAAAGATCAAAAAAATTAGATAAAAAGGACTTGTGGAAAATGTGGATAAAGCTTGTAGTTTAAATCTCGTAAAAGGCACAACTGTTGCTAAACTGTTTAACTCATATGGCTTTGTTTTTCATTTTATGAAATTTTGTGTTTCAAAGATTAACCAAAAGCTCTTACAGCTTTGAAAGGACATGAGAGTTTCATTTTGATGCGCTATTAAAATGTGGTTTAGTCAATTAGATCACCAGTAGACAAGGCAGACACGCGTTTTAATGCTTAACATAGTGTTTTACTTTTAATTCCTCTCAACAGCTTCTCTGCTTTATGTATGGCAATTTCTATATTTTTCTGATCTTTCAATCTAATGGTACAATAAGCTAAAGAAGATAGCAGAATGTAGAAAATTAAGAAAGAGTAGTGATTTTTATTTCAGCTCTAGGTGCAAAACTATGAAATCTGTGAGTTTGTGTTGCAATCAGGACTGGTAAGTGAACATATTCCTTCAAACCAAACCTTTTTTATATGGCAAAGTTTAAATTCCATCTGCCCTTGTACTTCAACAATATTTCCAACAATGTTAAAGAATTTGGTCAGTAGGTGTAGTGAAGGTGCTGTTTTGTGACCGTTTGAACATATTTGTCCACATGAACATCTACACTTTAAAAAGCAATCCTATCAATTGTGTTTTTAAATATTTCTAAAAGAGGCTGAAAGTGGATAATATTTTCACCAGAATCTAGTGCCATCCACTTGTTATAGAATCAACAAAAAAAACATTTATATATATATATATATATATATATATATATATATATATATATATATATATATATATATATATATATATATATATATATATCCAAGACTATATATCCAAGACTATATATATATATGTCCAAAGACTATAGAATACACTTATATCAATACCACAGCAGAATGAACAACTAAAAGCAAACAAAAAGATATATCACATAAAAAATAAATAAATAAAAGAGCGAAGGCTAAAATTATTTTGATGTTATATATGACAGAAATTGATTTATCGACACTATCGTTCAACACTAAATATATATTCTACAATTCAACACTACTTTGTTTTTTAAATGTATATATTTGATTGGCAAGAATACATTATTCAAAAGAAATATGACACTAAATGGGATAGTTTACCCATAAATGCAGAATGTGTTTACTTGGGCACAGCAGAATGAACAACTAAAAGCAAACAAAGAGAGAGAAAAAATCCTCAAAACTATCAGCAGGAGGAATATCAATATAACACAGATCCGATTTACTGTTACACATGAATTTTCATTCTTAACTATTCATGTTTATTTATTATATAACAAACAAGTGTGAAAATATTAATAATAATTTGTGTGCATAATCGCTAGGTGCCATTGTTTTGACCCATTTCTGAAGGTATTCGACCATTTAGGCATGCAGCTAACTTAAAAGATCACTTTCTGTTATGATGGGAATGAATTTTGATTAATTGCAGAGCCCTAAATGGGGACTATGATTGAACTAACCCATTGATCTGTCTGTAACCATGAAACGGTGCTATATTTACTTGTTTATACTGAGGTATGATGTAGTATTCATCGCCATGGTAGATGTAAAGAGCTCCCTGGTGGTCATCCTCAAGCGGAGCTCCCACGAGCAGATCAGTGTATCCATCATGGTTGAGGTCAGGGGCCACAGCCATGGCATAACCAAAGCGTGCATCCTGTGCCTTCTGCTGAGAATGCAGCGTCCCGTTGGGAGCAAAACCATCCTAGTAGAGAGAGAGAGAGAAATATTCGGAAGTAGATTAAACATCTAATAGCTTTTAGAAGATCAAATGTTTCCAGCTGCAAGGTTTTAGTCAAAATACAGAACATTGAATCTCTCACCCCATCCAGACAGAAGACGTAGACTTTGCCTGTTTCTTTGTTTCCGGCTCCCAGAAACATTGGAGCAGCTATAAGCAGGATATCTGTTATTCCATCCTGATCCACGTCCACCACGCATACCTCGCTGCCAAAATATGAGCCGATCTGGACAGAAAGGGGAAAAATATTGAGCAATCTCAAGTGTTCCACACAATTTTTTTAAAGAATGATTTTCCATTAGCATTGTTTTTAAAACTCTGGTGATAGAGCTAAGCCTATAATTATTTTAATGTTATACATGACAAAAATTTAAATATTATACACGACATGTTCAATAATATGAGTGTTTTGTTTTTTAAATGTACACATTTGAATGGCAAGGAAACATTAATCAAAAGAAATGTGACACCAAAAAATTGTATTTACTCACTATTTACTGACCCTTAAGTGATTCCAAACCTTTATGAGTTTTTTTCTGTTCAACACAAAATGATATATCTAGGAGAATGTTAGAAACTGGTAATCATTGGCTTTATAGTGGAAAAACAAATATATGGAAGTTGATGGTTACAGGTTTTCACTTACACGACTTTTGTGTTCAACATAAGAAAGAAAGCTAAACAGGTTTGTGACAAGTGAAGATAGTAAATAATGACATAATTTTGATCAATTACTTTAAATTCTCACAAATGCAGTTCTTTAAGAATAATTAAAAAATTAAATGAAAAAAAAAAGACAAGTTTCCTAAGAACCACATCATCATATTAGATTAGTTTCTTAAGGACCGCTTGCTTAACTCTAAACAATGGTATAATGATGCTAAAGTTGCCTTCGTCATCAGCAATAACATCTTAAATTTTATTAAAATAAAATAAATAAAAACTTTTTAATTAAAGTGTTACTGTTTTTCTAATAGATTACAAACATAAACTACACAAAAGCAACGTAGATGAGCAAAGAAAATCTTTGAAAATAATTTATGCGTCACATTTTATTTTGAGGTATAATTCTCACTATTAACAAACCATTAACTATAACTTTTGCCTCAATAAACTTCTAATGATACCTATTAATAATTATTAGGGTAGTAAGAAGTTAGATTTAATGAGATCATGCAGAGGCAACGCGGTGGCGCACTGGGTAGCACGTTCGCTTCACAGCAAGAAGGTCGCTGGTTCGAGCCTCGGCTGGGTCAGTTGGTGTTTCTGTGTGGAGTTTGCATGTTCTCCCCGTGTTCGCAAGGGTTTCCTCTGGGTGCTCCGGTTTCCCCCACAAGTTCAAAGACATGCGGTACAGGTGAATTGGGCATGTTAAAATTGACCGTAGTGCATGAGTGTGTGTGTGTGTGAATGAGTGTGTACGGGAGTTTCCCAGTGATGGGTTGCAGCTGGAAGGGCATCCGCTGCGTAAAACATATGCTGGATAAGTTGCCGTTTCATTCCACTGTGGCGACCCCAGATTAATAAAGGCACTAAGCCGACAAAAAAATGAATGAATGAATGAAGATCATGCAGAATCTGTACTTTATAAGTACCAATAAACAGCCAATATCTAAATAAAAAGACAAGCAACAAGCAACTAGTTAATAAAAATACTACTTGAACTAAAGTGTTACAGATTTTTGTTTTTAAACATTCATTTTGGCATTATAAGTTCTTTTTGAGATAAGACTATTTAACAGGAAATGAGAATGCATAATTTAATATTTAATATGGTTTCATATAAATTATATGCAATATGGACTGGTTCTGATACATATGAAGCACATGTATATTATGTAGTTTGACTTTACATAAAATCTAAATAACAGCAATAGCGGGTTAATAAAATATCTTAGAGTAGGTTAAAGCCTGTCAAAACAAACATTCATTCTAGAAATGCTTAAGATATTAATTCCTGTGGCTTTTACAGGCCTAGAACACCTAATTAAAAAAATCCCCTGAATTATGCAGGTTTAGCATGAACTGTGGGAACCCTGACACTCTGGATTTTGTTCACTTTGATTTTAGGAGTGGCTTGAGAAAATGAAACCCATTTCCATTTGTTTAATAAGAAAATAAACTCATTAATTGTGAGAGGAGGAATGTGGTGTGAAAGAAGGAGAAAGAGAAAAAGCAAAGCAAGACTGAAAAAAATCGGGGATTGATGGAGATCTCATCAGTGCTACAAAACAGACAGACCAAAGAGGGAGAACGTCAGTATAAATAAATCTCAAAATGAAGGAGAGGTCACCTGTTCTCCATTCAGGGCCTGTGTGATTATGACATCCCCTTCAGGAGTGAGGTCAAACAGGATGACCTTTCCTTTGTGCTTGAATCTGGGTGCACCAGCAACGTACAGCCTCCTCCAGTTCCCCACAACCACTGAGGACACTGTGTAACCTACAGCAGAGTCAGATTGACACTGAGCATCAATAAACGTCTTTTCATTTTTGTTTAATCAATTTATGATAGATTTTTTAATTATTATTTTGTTCATAGTTTCTTGAGTTTTATCTATAATGTTAATAAAATAACATACCAAATATATTTAAAAAATGTAAACATTTGGTCTCCTTCATGAATAATTGCATAATTTATAGTATTTATAAGCACATTTGAACTTCTCATATAAACTTTACCCTTAATTCATCACATGAGTATGTAAATGAGTTTGTTCTTAAACTTGTTCTTCTGTTAGTGAATTTAAATGGGTTGTATGTAAGTTTTTGACTGTACTAAAACATAAAAATCCTATGTTTGCAGATATGTAAGACACATGCTAAGTGAACAGGCTGGTTTATCTGAAAAACTATGCTAAAGTAAGTTATTCTCCTTAAAAATGTGCATTTAGTGTGATGTCACAAATCTATTCGAAATATCAAGGAATCATTGAAGATTAAAAACTGCATATTTAGACATTACCTAGGTAGGCTGCATGATTCTTGAGCTCCAGTGGGAACTCTTTCTCAAAGGCCTCTCGTGGGGGCATAAGCTGCCCTTCTTTGCTTTCTTTCAGGATGCCTCCCTCCCAATCGTAGGCTCCCACCATGCCAAACAAGATGCCATCCTGCAGTGAAGTTCACAGCATGAATACATGTTCTGAAGCATCTGCATATATCTCAGTATATCGATTCAAACATTTGAATTTAGGCACAACTTCACATAGACATAGATTACACTGAAACTCACATCCAAAATGTGTGTTGAAAACCCAATCTGAGACATCTCCATAAGAAAGGCACTTTCATTGTATCCTAAAGTGCCTGTAACAAGAAAACACATTGCATTCTTTAAAATAAAATATCGTTATGTAGAGTGTAAAGTGCTGTAATCAAATCAATGCTAATGCTAAGTACAGCAATAAACATTTGTGTGCTCTACTATTCTAAATGTTTTGGTAAGAGTTATTAATTGTTTATTGTCAGCACAGAAAGGTACTACATTTTTGACAATGCATCAAATCTAAAGTCTAAAGTTATCATTGTCTTCCTGTATTTCTATGTATCCTGTGGATGCACAGATGTGCCCACTTTGAAGGTCATCTATCTACACCCTTCCATCCTTCCTGACAAACTTTCCTCAAAATCAAGGTGTCAAGCATTACACCCAGTTCTTACTGGAATGTTTTTTTCTAAAGTGACATCTTGCCCTGTCTGTTTTATCTCCCTGATCCTTAAGTCACCTTATATTTATGCATAATATTCCTAAAATACAATGTTTATAGTTTTTTTTGTGTCTAAAAGACATCACTAGCCAAACTTTCTGGCATTAATACAAACATGGGGATTTACAATTGTATTCATTTTTGCATCACAAATTATTATAAGGTACAATTTTCAACATTAATAAACCATAAACTATGAATTTTGCCTCAATAATTCCTAATTTGCTGCTAATTAATAGTTATTTTGGTAGTTAGGTTAAGGGATTAAGTAGGATTAGGGATATAGAATATGATCATGTAGAATTTGTACTTTATATAGTGTATACCAACTATCAGATGATATCTTAATAAAAGGTAGGTAATAATCCACTAGGTTATAGTAAGAAATAGTACCAAATTTTGCTCGATCTAAAATAATGTATACTTGCAAGCATTTTCACATGTGGTTCAATAGTCCAAATACACAGAAAAAGATGTCACAGAAGAACATCAGCATTATTCTGCTAAAAAAAACTGTTGAAAACAAATCTTTGTGAGAAGGATGTCTGTTTTTTACGGTCACTGAGGATGAATTTTCATCTTTTACCTTCTAGACTAAATATGCGATCTCCCAACGCATCTACAATGTCATTTAGAGCAGCCTCATCCGTCACATTGAAGAAGTATTTCTCATCGGGGTCACTGGAGATGTACTTAATCTCATTGATGAACGTCTCTGGGTCCTGCTGTCTGCGGATGTAGTGACCTAATACCTGTGTAGGAGAGAGACAGGGTGCATAAGCTGCTTAAATACAAACTGACTGAAACATTTAACCAGAAATGGTCATTCCTTTTGCAGACAAGTCATGTTTGAGACATGTTTGAGTCGAGAGGATCAAGAAAAAAAGATTTTCTCATACTGAGAGCCAACACCTCCTGCGGGGCCATTAGGGTGAAAACAGAAGATCTGATAGATCAATTAATGAGGGGATACGAGACTCAGAGGAAACTCATCCTAGAAACAAAACACCTACACAGAGGAAACAGAGAGGATATCATTCACAGCCACTGGCAGCACACCACTAATGACAAGCCCTGAAAGCCATTGGTGCCAGGTCATGAGTTCACTCTCCACTGACACATCACCCTATATTGTTTAAAGTTCCCAGCAGTACTTCCATAAGTTGCATATTTTATGACATGCTGACTAGTTAAATCTGATATATTCAATATATGATAAATATTAGTCAGAATTTTTCGTCTAGCCATAGGTATTGTTTGATTTTAATTTTATTTTTGAAGGTCTTGTACACTATTAGGATAATTCTAACACCCTTTACTTCTCACTACTGACTTTATATCTCACAAATAAGATTATATATCTCACGGTATAACAGACAAGAGAAGAGAAAGAGGATCTGAATTCTGTTTTTTATTATGAACAAAAACTAAGACTTTCCACCAAGTAAGTCATAAGAAATTGTGGCTGTAAAATTAGCACAAAAAAGATGCCGATAAAAACAACTGTAAAAGGTGTGCAACATAATCAATAATAATGTAAACAATCAAGCGGTAAAAACACAGAAAAACAAGGGGATATAAACTAGAAAAAAACAAGAAAGTCTGGGGACATGCCACAAAACAATTGGACTGACTTTGAGCCAATTTTTCCCCTCCCTGCTGGGATCCTAGGTAATTTTAGGTAGGCCCCCAGATTAGTAGAACTTTATTAAATTATCATTGAATCAACAGATTTCTAACGCTGAGTTTTCATCAGGTTTGCACCCTTAAGTATATATATATATATATATATACTTGAGGGTGCAAACCTGATGAAAACTCAGCGTTAGAAATCTGTTGATTCAATGATAATTTAATGAAGTTCTACTAATCATATTTCAATGACAAATGTTGTGAGCGCAGTATTAGAAGTCAAGATTGCATTTACATAATAGCCTACAGCTCGCAGATCTCTTTGCTTGCGTGCCGATTTCCTCTGCTCGTTCAAAAAACTTCTTGCACACCCCCTCAAATATAAGCCGCTTCAGGAGCGCGCAGATCTTCTTGTGCGCTTTCAAATAAACGCTTCTGAAGTGCGATTTAGTGCGTTTATGTCTCCAGCAGTTATTAAATTTGCTAGGAATAATTATGAATGTCTCTAATAGACCTACAGAGCAATATTAATGCATCCTAAAGTAAAGTGAAACGGCTATACGTCGTGTTTGCTGGCCTCACGCAACATGCACCTGTCAGTCAGATAGTCTGCACGTAACCTTAAAGGGTTAAAATGACGAATGACATGGCACACAGCATTGCTACAGTTACAGAAAAGTTCACGCTGTTATAATTCACTTACCTTTTAATACCCTTTGGTGCGATTATTACCCGCTATCAAAAATTAATCTTTTATTATTTCTTTCTAATATAATAATGGATTCATGAACACAAACGCAGTGATTAAGTTAATGATATAACTTATTAGTGGTTAGTGTTATTGAGAATTGATGATGAACACCTGCTATTAACACATTTGTGGAAATATCCCAGTTGTGTTTTTAAATCTTACAATTAACTATAACATAATTGTGTTTTATCTTTATCTCCATATAATTGTGTTATTGACAATATTAACTTTATGACATATTTTAGATTTTATTTACAATTACGACAACTAATTCAGAGTCTGAATTTTGAACTTTTTATCTCACACTTGTGATTAAATCTCAAGTTTGGCATTATCTTTTAAAAATTGTACATTTAATCTAATTTTTACATATTTCAGTTGGGTCTATATATTAAAATTGTTGCTTCGTATGTGAAAACGTCAGTATATCAAAATAAGATTTCATATCTTTCAGTTGTTACTTTATAAATATCCAACAGAATTTAACAATATGTCTTTGTGTTTAATAACTTTAATAACTTTAATAACTGCTATTCAGACCATTGTCCTGTCCCATATCCCATTATCTCTCTCCTATGTTGCCATCCTGTCATCCCTCTATACTGTCCTGTCTCAATAAATTCCAACATGTCAAAAATAAATTCTATAAAATCAACAGCTACATTTAAATGGATATCAATGGAGAACAAAGTTTTTGTCCATAAATTAGTGCAGTTATGGCATAATAACAGCAGGGGTTAAATGACCCATGCTACCCAGCCAAACCTTAACCTCATGAGTCTGAGGGGTGTATTTATGCTATCAAAAGTGTATGGCTCAGCAACCTGGATGAAGATCTGAGTATTTCCTGCAGGGTCTCGTTGCTGCTCTCAAAAACAAGCAGACAGACATTTGTGGAAACTTTCTAACAGAGACGACCTCTCGCAAGTTATGCAACTTTCATAGGGCCTCCGAAAAACAATGGCCTAAAAAGATATTATAAGAAGGGCTGTGCAAAATATTTTTGCTTCATTTTTTCCTCAATGATTATAAAAACACAATGAAATTATTATAAAAATGAACGATTTCCATTCCTCTCCTCCGTCCTACATCTTACATAAATAAGTCAATTCCTGTGATGTTAATTGACTGTTGAATGTTCCCCATAAAGATAGTTAGTTTCCCTGTGTATTAAATTAATGCACATGCATTTGGTATGTATTAACTTAAACACAGTTAATTACATTTTAAATTAACATAAGTATTTAAATACATGTCATTACAGATTTGTACATTTAGTCTTAAAGTAACATGTGTAATATTTAAATTTAATAAATCAAATGAAAGATCCATTAACCGCTCTTTCTTATAGTAACTTTACCCAGCAGGCACACAACATCATAAGACATTAATATTAGGTTACATTGAGGCCGTGACATCAGATGACCAAAATTCAATGTCTAGCCAACGTTATTTAGGACAACGTATGACACGACAACGTTATTTTGACGTCCACTAATGACGTCAAATTTTGTTGATATTTGGTTGATTTTAAGTTGTGTTGAAAAGTGACCAAAATCCAACATCTGAATGATGTCATAGTGGTAACGTCCATATAATGTCAAGGTGGAACATGACGTTGATGTTTGGTTGATTTTAGGTTGATTTTAGGTTGGACATTGACACTGGTCTGATGATGGGTTCGGATGTCAAACAGATTTTCATTTACAAAAAAACAAAAACTAACGTCACCACGACGTTGGGGTACGTTGGGGTACAATGTCAGTATGACATCATGTTGACGTCCTGCGCCTGCAGAGTATAAGAGCCAGTGTAGGATGTAGAATGTGTAGAATCGATTAAGAAAAAGTGTAATGAGATTTGTTTTCTGAGATTATATTTAAATGGGTAAAATGTTTATTTTATTTGTCTTTTTTTCTAATTCATTAGTTCCATCGTTTGTAAATTTATTATTATTATTATTTTTAAGTGTACAACCAAATATTTTAGGCTACCGATGCTGTTTGCTGACAGTGAAACTTGTCAGAAAGAATAAACAAAGGGGTTTGATAGCAGTAGTCTAGTGCTGGCTTTGCATACCAAGCATGTTCCCGGCTATTTATTGTAGTAATCTATTTTACTTATCACCTTTAATTCACGGTGGAATTTGTTGCACATTTCTAGTATTTAGCATTCTGAACTCCCACCCACTTCCCCACCTATTATGTTCACATTCCCAGCATCTCTATCCTGTAATGTCTAAAACATATCCTGACCAATACAGAAATTCATCTGAGGTTGTTTCTCTTCTCTCCCGCGAGTGCTTTACTTTTCCATCCGTTCACTAGTTCTGTGCAGGAGGAAGAGAACGAGAAAAGGGAGAGGGAGAACATAAAACACATCAAAACATGAAAGCTATGCTTTGGCTGGCGGGGCATTAAAACCAGCTGTCATAATTATATTCCACCGTTCCCTTGAGGAGACGCAGAGAGACATATTACCCAGATGACTCTGCAAATCCGGACACCATTCTGGCACTGTTTGTATAAGAGAGGAAAACATAGGCTCATTCAGGAGCAGGTTTACATGCTTTACTCCGTTCCAACAAGGGGAGTACAGTAGAAATGTCAAATCACACAGAGCAGTAGTGAGAGACAGTTTCAATTGAAAAGTAAATCACTTGCAGACTTCATGTGATTTAGCAGCACTGTATATCCAAGAGGTTAATGTTTATTTACATTTGCTGAGGTAGTGTTCAAAATTGTACTGGTCTTTTTGATTGTGCAATGTCAGCATTAAAAAAAAAAAAAAAAAAAAAAAAAGAAAGAAAACGGCCCAACTATCTGCACTGCCAGATGGACAATGTTAGAAAGCATACTAAACAGTATATTTTGTATGTACTGTGCAAATGTTTCAGGCCACCATTATATTTGTTGATTTAGTGATGGTATAATGACCACATATAATTACTTCTCATGCTTTTTTATTTAAAAACAACCAGAAAATTTAGGTTAGAGTTTTGGGTCAACTATTTTAAGACTTGAAATACACAGTCAGAGAGATATCTACGAATGAGTGCTTGCAGCCTTCAGTAAAACATGGTTGAGGCTCTGTCGTGGCTTGGGGCTGTATTTCTGCCATTGGTGTTGGCAATATTGTCTGAACTGATGGAATCGTGACTAGTAAAAAGCACAGAAATTTAAATCTGTTATGCCATTTTTTATAGAAAGTAACTTATTGGCAGTATTGATTTTCAAAAAGAGAAATCAATAACAGACAATGAAACACAGACAGTCATAAAATGACCTTCACAGAGTCCAGACCTGAATATTAGAGATGTTATAGATTCACTTGAACGGAAAAAGTAAGATATGACAGCCTAAATCTAAATAAGAAAAAGGCCAATCTATACTTCTCAAACACATGTGGTAGGTCCAGCATAGCCTTTGCACAGTTGCATACACTCTGACCCTATGCACTTTGCACTAATAAAGCTCTTTATGTATTTAAAATGTCCTTTTTTAATTTTACCACGTCATAAAAAAACATACACACTTGTTTGAGGACACAGAACACATTTTAAACTTGCAAAATTCCCTGATGCGTCTGTAAAGTGCTGCGCAGCTGCAGACAGAAAAAAAGGTCGCCTAGTTTCTGCTTTCACTCACCCCGAAAATGCTGTTTGCATGATTTGATTAATATAATCGTATCTTAATACTTTATAAATAATGTTTAAAACATTCTCCGGTGTTTATTGTTTTTAGAAAATATCTAAAATCTTTTTTTTCAGAGAGGCTTTTGAAAAATGAAAGTTTAATAAGGCTTTAAAACAGTTTGATATAGTACCTAATTGTTATAGCTAGCTTTTGTTAGTTTTATATTGGTTTATTTATTTAATGTGATTTTATTATATCCAATATTTGTAGTTCTTTAAATTATTTCAATTTAGCTTAGGCTATTTTATCTAGATATGACACTATTGTTTTGAGCCTACAAAAGTGGACACGAAATGTGTAAAGTTGAATGTCTTTCTGTTGTATTTATACAGTGTATTATCTCCAAAATAAATAAAAACAATAAAAAATAAAAGAAAAAGCCGCTCGCGGCATCTACAGAGCTAAGGGAGCGCGCTTTACCTTGGTCTCACACACACATACAGGCATCTAAATGCGCACAAACACACCTTTTAAACTTGACAAAAACTCTCGACAACCTTTACTGTCTGCTGTGTCTTTAATATGGTGTAAAGATTATTATGCATTATTGAAACATCAAGGAGGATGCAGCAAAGAAAAGACACATAAATTAAAACTACTTTGTTATTTTATGCAACAACCTTACATTTAAAAGAGAAACATAAGGGCGATCATACGCAAAAAGACCATAGCCTATAATTTGTTCCAGATGTTTTATTTCCCTTATTTATTTATTTATTTATTTATTTATTTATTTATTTATTTATTTATTTATTTGTTTATGTGTTTGGTGCATTTTTTCGTGTGCGATCGGAAAACTGTGCCCGCCTCTCCTTTCACTCCGCCCCGAAGCCCCGGCTGGCCCTCTTTGGCCCCAGGTATTCGGTGGGCTGAATCGCGCTTTAGGCGCAATAGTGGAAACGCAGCTAATGATATAGGTTATAGGTTTATCTATATATATATATATATATATATATATATATATATATTACGAATGTAACGGTTCACAAAAATCACGGTTCGGTTCGATACGATACAGTGGTGTCACGGTTCGGTATGTTTTCGATACAGCAAAAAAAGAAAATAGCCAAAGTATTTCTCTGATTAAATTTTTTTAATGTATTAAAACTAACATCATAAAAATATGATCCTGTTTTTTTCTATTACTTCAAACCGTGATAGAGCTATACTTCTGGGGTTTCTGCTTAGCAGCAAATAAAACAAATCCTTCCTTATACTCAAAACTTTATATGGAACTCAGTTTCAACCTACAGTATTTTAAAGTATTTCTTTATTTTCAGAAAGATGAGAGTCCACCTTTTCCTCAGACAACACAAATCTGCTTGATTTGATGGTCTTTTGCCATTTTAGTGGATCTGAAAGCAGGAATTATCTGACTGAAATGGGCTTATGACACCACTCTCTTGGTAGCGGTGATGGTGCGCGACGTATCTGAAGAGCGGTGGGGGGGGTGTGTGTGCGATGTACCTGAGCGACGGGGGTGAGTTGTGCCCAACGTACCTGAAGAGCTGGGAGGGATGCGGTGGAGAGGGGTGTGCAACGTATTTAAGGACCGGGGGGGAAACGTGCGATTTCCCGAAGATTATCATTTGTTTGCGGCCATCCAGGAGTCTCCCAAAGCTTCCGGGGATCCAGGGTTGCTGGGGCAACTGGCGCGGAGCCAGCACGAGCAGCCAGGCTGACACAGAAGCTAGCACGATTGATAATGAGTGCATGCTTTAATAAAGTGATATTCTGAGTTCAAAAGCTATGGTCTACTGTTTAACATGACAGCGGGGAAGGCAGCATGTTGTCTGCCACGTCATTTGAAATGTCATGTTGAGCGTTGTTGCAATGAAAATATTATATTTTGTACGTATTCCCTTTTATCTTTTTAGATATAGGTCTGAATAGAATCGTTCGGTTCGTAATGCGCACTGGACCGAAAGTCTCATACCGAACGGTTCAATACGAATACGCGTATCGTTACACCCTTAGTATATATATATATATATATATATATATATATATATATATATATATATATATATATATATATATATATATATATATAAATTTTTATTTAATATATTTATTTATTTTATTAATAAATAAAATATTCCAGTGTCATAGCTTATTTAAAAACTATAGCCACATACAATCACAATAATGCTAAGTTTTTACCTGTGGTAAGTTCTGGTTACCATGGTCTTCTTACAAATACCGCAATTAAAAAATGCAAGAGCTCTCCATGAATCCTCCATGATTCAGTCCAAACTATCAACTTTCCTCCTTTTGGCAAAATCTCAGATTTGCCTTCAAGTATTACAAGATATGACTGTAATCATGAACAGTCAGATGAAAGAAACCAATATCTGTCAAGTAGTTTAAACTCCACTGACAGACTGTTTCAGTGTGCAATTTCTGTGTTTCCAAAGACTGCTTTCAAGTTCAACATTTAAAATAACCCTCTACATTAGTAGATAGTTAATTAATCCTGAATGGACTTGAAGTCAATGTGATTTTGTAACGAAGACAGTCAAGGTACTATTATTATTAATCAAATATACTACACCTTATTTAAAATCACACTTACAGTCAATGTACAGAAAAAAAGTTTGCAAGTTTAAAAAAACATTCACTGGTTATATATAGTGATTATAATTATTATATAACATATATTCTATGTATTGTTTTGAATCTGATTAGCTAAAGATATATCAGACTGCTATGCTGATAATATATTCTTTAATAAATCTGACAGTAAAACAAAATTATGAATGAATGTTTTAACCAAAGTTATGCGTAAACCTAGTATAAATAAATTGAGTGGACATGTCCCAATTGAGTCTACTACTTGTATATATGTTTTAAATAACTAACTGCTGCACTCAAAAAGGTTTCAGATTGGTTATATCGTTCATGTCTTACCCTCAATGTAAGTAAAACTGTGGGAATGTTTTTTTCAATTAAGAAAAATGAGGAGCATTGCTCAGATATTTTAGTTAATGGAGAAGTAATAAATATTGTTGATCATTTTAAATATTTAGGTATAATTATTGACTCCAATTTAAATTTTTAAAAACACATTAAGAAGGTTTCCAAAAGTGCTAGAGCAAGCCTGAGGATCTATAGAAACATTAGGCATCAGTTACCTATGGCTGCTGCTAAACTTTTTATGAATACAATGATTTTACCTCATTTATCTTATTGTGCTACAAGCTGGTCGCATACGAACATTACAACATTAAAACTATTGTATGTTATATATAAACAAACTGTTAAAATTTTAGCTAAAAAGCCAAGGAGCTATCATCATTGCAACTGTATTGCACAACAAAAATTACTAACATTTGACAGTTTCTTATTTTATGCTGATGTGTGTTTAATGTATAAAATATTTCATGGTCTTGCACCACCACCCCTCAAACAATGTGTGATTGTCGGCAAGGACGATATAAGACAGACTAGGTCATCTGTTAGAGGTGATTGTTCAGTTAAACTTAAGAGAACTGCTTTTGGACAATCAGTTTTTTCAGTTAAAGCAGCAGAAAGATGGAATAAAATACCAGTGTATATCAGAGAGAGCAGCACTTTTAATAATTTTAAAACTGTTCTTAAAATCTGGCTAAAACAAAATCAAATATGCAGCCACTGATTTGATTTCATTTTATTGACAATGATGTATTGTATTTATTGTACTGTAAGTGTATATTGTATTTGTTATAAGTGTTAAATTTGTTACTTCCTGCCCAGGGACTACAGATTTAAATTAACTTTATAGCTAACTCTGGCACAACATGCCATGTTGTACATTGTCCCTGTATAAATAAATAAAGTAAATAAAAAAAAAAATAAAAAATCCATCAGCTGAATGAGTAAGTCATCAAAAAAGCGTCACTTAGTCTGTTTCTTGTTCTGTTGTGGTTTAGGGTGGCAGTGGAGGAGTGTATCCACCCCCACTGACCCACTCACAGGGGTATGGTGACAGTGTCGAGAGGCTTCAGGGTGTGGTTCATTCCTCTGGTGGTGAGGAACCCCGTTTAAGTCTATTTCTGAACAGCAATAATGTGGTTATGATTGTTTAAAGAACGAGGGAAGCCAGTTTTATCATTCAGACACAGACAGAAAGCAAGAGAGCCGGGTGGAGCTGAGCAGAGACACTGAAAATAGAGCAGTGCCAATTATGGTCAGTTTAAGTGGAGATCTGATATTCAGACATACACTCTGCTGCTCGCTGGTTTTCTTAGGTGGGGTTGTAGGTTTTTCCAGCCTGCATAAGGGGTCAGGATTAATTATGGTAGGAATGTATATTTGTACTCACAGCGATGGCATATCTGGTGATGTTACGCTTCTCACATTCAATCAGGGCCTCGGGAAGGTCTTCGCCATCATGGGACTCTCCATCGGTCACCACTATCATCACTTTAGTGGCCCCTTCCCTCGCTCCTCTGTCAGGACTGAAGGCCTCCGTGCTAAACGTGAATGAGGAAAAAGACAAAAACAAAAGGAAAAGTTAATAAAGTCAGCGACATTTGTTGTTAAAGAAGTTAAAGACACATTAAAGCAATATGTATTATTTATTACATATGCAGTTGAAGCCAGAATTATTAGCCCCCCTTTGAATTCTTTTTTCTTTTTTAAATATTTCCCAAAAGATGTTTAACAGAGCAAGGTACATTTTTACAGTACATCTGATAATATAAAATATTTAATTTATATAATAAATTTATATAATAAATAAATAAATAATTTATATTTGTTTTATTTCAGCTAGAATAAAAGCAATTTTTAATTTTTTAAAAACCATTTTAAGGTCAATATTATTAGACCCTTTAAGCTATATATTTTTTTAATAGTCTAAAGAACAATATACAATAACAATAACTGGCCTAATTACCCTAACCTCCCTAGTTAACTCAATTAACCTAGGTAAGTCTTTAAATGTCACTTTAAGCTGTATAGAAGTGTCTAGTCAATATATATATATATATATATATATATATATATATATATATATATAATCCCCAGATTGAAGTATGTTCAGTTAAGCCAAATATTTTCACTTCAGTTATTGAACGGTTATTTTATGTATACTTACTCTACAGTTTTATAAAACTTTTTTTTTTTACTGAAAAATTTTGGCAACCACAGTTGTCGATACTTTTCTGTAAATTTTATGGATTTCTTTTAACAGTGTGCCTTAAAATGTGCAGATTTGTGTGTAATTTTGAACTAATTTCAACTAAAATGGGGTGATATAAAGTAGCCACCTCCCCATTTAAAAAAAGAGCCATATCAACCTTAATCTGTGATGTGGAATTGTGCTTATTTTTTGCAATTATTTCAGAACTTCTGATCATACTACTTCCATACAAACAAGTGTGTTCATGACTACACATAAAAAGTATATTGATATATTAAGAAAATATCAGTTTTTAACATCAAGCAGCATAACGAGTTGTTTTTAACCTATAAAAATCAGTAGAAGTGAATAAGGCTGGAAATCTCGAGCCACATAAATTTAATGCCCCCTCGTACGTGAAGAATAAGGACTATAAAGGGTTTTTAATTTGACAGATTTGCTAAATCTCATTAGACTCGTGACAGCCATATTAGCAACCCTGAGACTGCTGAGTCATTTCTATGAGTATTAAACATGCAGGAGGTCAGATTAACCCTGTTTTGGCTACTGTTTATTATTATATAACATTTGTAACTG